GTTGCGATAAATCTTCAGCAATTTTTTCAAAATTTGGTTCCCACATTGTTAAATAGAGATTATAATTGTGTACTGACCTCGAAAGGAATGGCTGCAAATTTATAACGTGCGGAACAATACGCGAATCTTTCAATTTTTGTAACAAGCGTAACGTCTAAATTTGGTAAATATCGAGTAATACTCGCGTGCAGTGACACGCATTGCATGGTGGGGGTACGGTCCAGGCCTCATTATTCCTAATACTAGTAGTCCAGTAAAAACACGAAAAGCCCCAATGTTATCGAGCAATAATTATAGAATAGAATAATTTTTTTTTTCTATTCTAAAATTAATGCTCGGTTAAACTGTAATGTTACAAGACTACAGGTTCACTCGGCACAAATAGACAGGCAAATCGAGTGGATAAACAAGTTGTTTAGACTGTTTTAAAAGGTAAATCGGTGTTCACACTGAGATATTTTAAAGCAAGTTTTTGTCGTTTCTTGTTTCTTGTGTTAATAATTTACAGCAAATTGATTAACATACGCCATTTTATAATGAAAATTAGATGTACCCCTTTGATTTACGCTCGTACCCCTAGGGGTACATGTACCCCCGGTTGAGAACCACTGGTTTACCTTGTAAACTTGTCATCATTGTGTTATTAGTGTTTAAAATGTAAAGTGTTAAGATCACCTGTGATAAGGATGTGGATGTAACCCTTTTTGACATTTTTCTCCCTGTGGACGCTAACAGGGTTTTTTTTCAACCCAATAATGGAATTCATGAAGGCCCCCAATTGCACGGTGGTGAGGGACGAGGTCCGACATATTCAGAATAGACCATTCCCGAATTGTGTCGCCTACTGTGGTCAAGGTGGTAGTCTACTGCTCTGGGGACCCGAGATCAAATCAGGACGGGTCAAAAATTACGAGCAATATTACAGGGGGTGGTCCGTTTGGATATATCGGGCCCAGTCCTTCACCACCCGGCCATCCCATTGTTGGCCTGGCCGAACCCATAATGGGCTTGCTAAAAGAGACCCTTGTTTAGTGCCCACTGGGCGGAAAGAATTAAAAAAAGACCATCCCCGAAAAATCCCTGGAATTTTTTAACCCCTGCGGATTTGTTCTCGGGTTTCCTAAGCAAAAGGCCGACACCTTAACCGCCCGGCCATCCAGCATCTTCCGACCTGATGTGGATAAAGAGTGCATTCTTTTATTTCTCTCCGTAATTACGCACGCACGGCATCCGTTTAAAAATTCCAGCGGAACGCGTTCCTATATTCCGGCCGAAGTGCACGCCGTCAGACGACAATATCGGCCGCTTGTAGTAGTAGTTTACGGCAGAAAGCAACATGGCTCCAAGGCTCAAATAGTTTTAGCGCCCATTATTTAGTTTTATGAATAAAAATTTAGAATTTGTGAAAGCACACGTTAATGAACACGGTGATATATAAGTCATCTCGAAATTTTTTCAAATGGTAGCCGGCCTTCTAAGTTTTTCGTGGCTACTTTGAATGCTCTGTCTACAAGACAAAGCATTCAAAGCCTTTTATGGCAATCAAGACCATTCTTTTAGCTTTTCTCTCTAAAACCGCATATTTTATAATCATAGATTCCTCCATCACAATACTATTCATATTACAGCCGCCGCCATCTTTTTATCTTTCACCGTCGTTCCCAAAAGCCTACAAACAGCAGCGCACGCCCGTGATCGAGGATTCGCGGAACGACCGCTATTAACGAACGTACCCAAAGATTCACACAGGACGAAATTTAAAAAAAAAAAATTATTTTAATTACAAAATCTTAACTTATAAAAATTTTATATTTATAATAAATTTTTAAAAATTATTATTGATAATAATAAGTGATAATAATTATCATCGTAATTAAAAATAAACAATTTTAAAAAATAAATATCAACGTGACGTCATTTCCGTTATTAGAAAGACATCAACAACAAGCTAGTGCAGTCATGTGGAGTACAAGAAATTTTTTGAGACTTGGAAAATACAGTAAGGTACATGAAAACAACGCGATAAAGGAATTTATTAACATTTCAGATTTTGTTATTTTTATGCCAATATAAAAATAAATTTTAAAAATAATCGAATATTTGCATCTTTGTAATGCTTGATGCAATAACATCATTTTATTGAGTAACAGCTTCAGTATAGACTTAGATCCATAAAGATATATTTAAAACATATTTACAAATGAAAACAACATACCTAAATGATTTCTACATTTATGTAATGTTTTCTCTTCAATTACATGGTTTTACATGGTCCATTTGTACAATCACACCTCTGAATGAGACAGTTTGGGCCTTATCAGAGCTGTAGACTGCACCCGTAGGAGCAAAAAAGTCAAAGGAACCGTGTCTCTACATGTGACCCTTCGAGATACGGCAACTCCAAAATCAACCTACTTCTGCGTCGCATGCAATTGGGAGTCGCATTACTCTGCTGGCTTTGAGTAGATCACTCAATTGTTTGTGGAGTACTTGATGTTATATAGTTTTGTGGGGTGTGGGGCTCACCCTGTGCGGTCGCTGAGATGCAAGTGATAGCGAACACCAACGTGCATGAAAACGTGTGGAGCATTGGTCGAGGAAAGAGATAGCTCGCCTTGACCGATATGGAGCATGGAGAATTGATATCAATAATGGTAAAAAACTGATCTTTGGAGGCGAGTATCTCACGAAGGATTGCATGTACTACAGGTATGGTTTCATTGACTTTTTTGCTTGTACAGGGTGTCTATAACTGTGCAGGGTAGAAAATCTTTCATTCAGAGTTTACATCTTATCATTTATTCAGGTTATAAATTTTTTATACAGAAATTTGTATGTATACAATTATAAATATATATTACACACGTGTCCAAAAGTTAAGGATGGAAGGCATTTGTGCACGAGTAGAGAGAACTTTAGACAAATATGGAACCATATTATTTGTCATCTGACATGAGGTAACATGCAATGACTTGTAGAATTTTACAAATCAAAGTAATAAAAGTAAGTCTGTGGTGAAAAAGATACATAAGTTGGATGGAGATGGAGAATGGATGGAAAGTGCTTGCCAATTCCTTGGCAGAGAAACCTGTTTGTATGAAATATGTCTACCTTGAACTGTAATGGAGCACTTGTAATGTGACAGGATCATCGCTGACTGGCTCAATACCCTTTTCTAGTTATCACAACTAAAAATTGTGTTCATAAGTTTTGGATGTGTGTAGGATACTATATTAAGTATAAATGTATACTTATTATAGTATCTATCTCTGTTTGTTATAGTATATTATAATTTATAAAAAATATAGAATATTACATTGTATAGTTTTTCTTTCTCTCTAACCTGTGGGAATTATCATGCTTTTTAAGTAAGCCCCATTATGAGTTTGGCCAGGTGGCGAGGGATGGGCCATCCCAAAAAATTCCCGAGGATTTTCAACCTATCCAGATTCAATCTGGTTTCCCCAGAATGGTAGGCTGCTATCTGAATTGCTCAGCCATCTCATCGTTCAACACTATAGTATCCTAGTACAGTACATATTTGAGATTACACATGCAAATATCTGAGTGTTTATTGTAAACTGTATGCTCTGTTAAAAACATTAAAATATTTTACAGAAATGTGAGAATGGATCCATTCTCCATAATAATACAATAATAATATATTCAGATGATTTTATAATAATCAAAACATAAATTGTCATACAAATAAAAATTAATTTGAATTTAAAATTAGCAAAGAATTTTTAAGTTAAAGAATATATTTTTAGTAAATTATAAAAGATTTATTCATCTAAATGAATGTAAAATATTTTAAATATTTCAGGTATAGGATTAGTATTTTATAACTGCAGGTATTCTTTGCTTAATATGGTTTTGCTTAACATGGGATTTGATTAACACACAAAATTAATTGCAGCAATCCCTTTACATATGCGGCAGAAGTTTTATTTAATTCAGCTTTACCAGCTGTCTTTACCTTACTGTATTTGATTAAAATGATTTTGATATATGTGGTTAACATCGAGGGATTAATTAACCGCATTAATCAAGGAATACCTGTATTAAAGTAATGTTTATATTGAGATTTTTCATTTCTTTCTATCTAAAACACTAAATAATTTTCTCAATCTTCTAATAGCAATATTGTTGGAGAATTAAAGGAATTTTTTTTGAAATATATAAGCTTGTATGAAACTAAGAATTTTATGTGAAACCTTATGACACTTTATAATAATTTTTGTATCTATACGGAAGATGCTTTTAATATATGTATAGTATAAATCGAAAACCTATTTTGTTGATTTTGTAAAGCTGTATCTAGCTACAGAAGTTTGTAAACATGTTTGTAACTTTATTTAATTTTTGTTAATCTATAGCATTTTTCAGTCAATTCTCTCGTCAGATAAATCTTTGTCATTGAAAATCATATTACAGAAGATTCTTATGTGTAATGTCATTTCATAATTAATAATTAAATCATAAATATTTAATTATTATTAGGTCAACTATTATGATTATTGAATTTAAATTTGATTAATTTTATAGTTTAGAATTATCTTTAATAGGTTTATTTTCAACATCAAAAGTTACAGAATCAAATTGTAAGATGGAGGCATTCGACACCGTTAAATACTATAATAATGTTTGTTCCGCAGCAAGAGGCATGGGTTGTAGAAAGAATGGGTAAATTTCATCATATAATGCAACCAGTAAGTAGTTTAATTTGATTTGATTACTGTTTTTATACTTGCATTTCAATTATTAATGTTAATTATGAATAATGAATTAACATTATACAGGGTGTTCAGAAAGTCACTGTATACTTTTCTAATCATATTTTTGCATTATTTCGAAAGATGTATGGCCCCAAGCTCACCAGATCTAAATCTACTAGACTTTTATCTATGGGAAACAGCAAACTCTGCAGTGTATCAAGATCATCCATGCACACTGGATGACTTGAAAGCAGCAATAACAGCATTTGTTCAGTCTTTCAAGCAACTGATAGCGATGTTTAGAAACAAAATAAGAATATAAGTGCACAGTGACTTTCCGAACACCCTGTACTTAAAAATTATAGTTATTACTTCATTGCAATTCTAACTGTTATTCTAAACCAACCTTTTTTGACTTGCATACTCCTGTCAGCTTATTTTCTAAAGTTTTATTTTGTGTGTTCATCAAACAGTGGTGCTTTGGTCAATTATACAGTGCTTTAAAATTACATGTAAAAAAGTTTTTTAAATCAAGAAGCATTATTTCCTACAATGCTTCTTGATTTAAAAGGGCACTGATAAATATAATTAAAATATTATTATATTTTTATTTAAAACTGAGCATCAAGTTCTGTGACATCACCAAAAGCCTCAATGCAGAATCTGAATATTCTTATAGTACATCCGCCATTACACAGGCGATGTGTTGCAAACAATTCCGAAACGGAAAAAAAAAATCCGTAAATGTTTATCTGTTTGTATCTTAACACTGGGAATTTGAAACGATTTATTGTTTGATTTAATCTTAAATTTATACAGTCAACAAAGCATCTATTTAAAAAAAAAAATGTAAACAATCCAGATAGATTTTGACTTGTTTATTTTATTTATTAATCATATACATGATAAAGTTGCAATACCGTATATGCTGTGTTTAGTAATAAAATAATACATTGCGATAATTTAATTTTACATATTTAGAAAGTCAACTAATATAAAATTCTTATTTAAAAATTATTGCCGAATTTTATTGCATTTTTAGTATGATAAATGGTGAAATATTAAATAATCTTGATAAATACTGTTTGCTACATATGCACAGATAAATTATTATTTTTTGTACGTCAAGAATATAAATTTAGCATAAGGGTAACTGCCTAAATTACATCCTTTAGATCCGCTAACGATGGCATAAGAGGATATACAAATACATTTTTATAAATGTATATCCTGTGATTCATCATGGCGGATCCAAAAACGTATAATTTAGGTAATTGACCTTAATACAATTTAATTTTTAATTGTCATTACATTTAAGTTGATTTTATTTAATAAATTAAATTAATATTTCATATATACTTTTGTATAAAATATAATTTGCACGTTAAATCCCGAATTAAAATAGGTTTACCTTTTTTTTGTGATTAGAATTATACAGTATTATAACGCGGATACAGATTATACAGTATATTTAAATATAAACAGTAATTTAATATATTTACCTAATTTATTTTTGAATTTGGTAAAATAATATATGTACTGTACTAAGTGTTCTTTATGATAAAATACTTGCATTACCAGTCGACTCCCCTATAACACTGTTGATTATTCCGTTTTATATAAATTCCATGTTGTACGAGTCACTCAGATTTTACAAATACGTGAGCCGTTCACAGCCCGGCACACGTATTTGTAAAACCTAAGTGACTCGTACAACATGGAATTCATATAAAACGGAATAATCAACAGTGTTATAGAGGGGTCGACTTCAGTAGTAAACTAGCTTATTGAAAAGGTACTGTACATAAAGATGTAAAGGTTTGAGAAGGAGATTTCAATTAAAAACAAAAAAAATCAAAAGGGCACAATAGCAACTGTGCCGCATCCTACGATGTAGAACTATTTCGTGGCACCATCTCACGTCATTGAAATAGTGCAAAGNCAAAACTGGTAGCCGGTTTCGTAATTCACTCCTCACACAAGATCTTTTAAAGTTCTCGTATATACGTATATACGTATATAACACGTAAATAGGGGTCAATTTCTCTTAAAAATTCTTTATGATTTTTGTTTTGTATTTACTCATATATTTTCATACTTTCGTGTTTATAATTGTTGCACAATATTAAAATATTATTATATTTTTATTTAAAACTGAGCATCAAGTTCTGTGACATCACCAAAAGCCTCAATGCAGAATCCGAATATTCTTATAGTACATCCGCCATTATTCATTTTTTTTTGTGTATTCCTAAACTACCAAGTGCATATTTCTAGTAGGGAATTGCCGTTCTAAACCAAGAGTCTACAACCTATGGCCTGCGGGTCAAATATAATCCCCAAAGCACATTTATCCAGCCTATGCAGCTTATTTTCACTGAGATGTTTTATCATTAACATTTGAACTAATTCAATGCATATAAATTTTTGAAATCAAATAGAATTAATAGACCTTGTGGTAGATGATTTTTATAAAAAAAACCTATTTAAAGGGAGTTTGTTAAATGTTTGCAAATCTCTTCCAGAAGAGAATTTTAAGTCTTAAGAAGTTTGTTTGAGAGACATTTACTCAAATAAACCATCTCCTATTAAATATAATAATTATAAATTAAATCATTTTAGATTCTGGAAGGAAACATATCAATCCAATAATATTCTGTTGTAATTTTTTTAAAGTTCCATTCATTTAACTTTTTTATTGATCAATGTTTATTTAATGTGTACTGTCATTTTATTAATTAATTAATAATGTAATGACAGTACACTATTAATGACAGTATTAATAATTCTTAATTAATAAGTATATCTGCATTTAAAAAAAAAATAGAAGTTTAACAAAAGTTTCTTCAATGACATTCACTAGAACGTCAGGACGTAATCTTCTAAAATGGGGTCCTGTTCAAATCGGGATGTCTGGTCACCTTAAATAAAACTTAATTTTTGTTGAGGCTTTTTATTGGTTTGATTACTTGATCAGAATCATGAAAATATAAAAATTACAATATAAATAACTAATTTGTAATTATTTATTGAAGAGTTGTGATGGATTACACATTACATCATCTCCTATTGCACATAAGAGGGTACGGCTATGCATTGCAATCGATTTACAGTTTACTTTTTTTCAAATTAATTACTCACAGATCAGTATTCATTTGAAAGAAAGTAAACTGTAAAATGAGCTAAACAGAGGAAGACGTCAAAGGAAAATGTGGCACTTATGAGACAGCCAGAGCTAAATGCTGACATACAGCAAGTTCTGTTGTTGATAATCACGCATTGATAAGGATTTTGTAACAGATTTATCTCCAATTTCTGCATGATTTGCACAAGAGATCGATCATATTTATCTTAAATAAAAGATATTTTAATTAAGTTATAATCACGCATTGATAAGGATTTTGTAACAGATTTATCTCCAATTTCTGCATGATTTGCACAAGAGATCGATCATAATCATCTTAAATAAAAGATATTTTAACTTAATAGTGTTAACTGATATATGAGTTAATACTTAACACAGAGTGAAGTGTTATGTACCGTATTGCTAATCTAAATCATGATATAGTGAACATTTTCTAAATTACAAACGTTTAGTTAATAGAAACTTAAATTATCGTTATATAATCAAGTAGAAAACATTCACTGAAAGTTTTTGATGCAATCAATGTTAACAAATTATGTTCCACGACCTTCCAATTCTTGTCAATGTTTTAAAATTCTATTTAAAGAACAATCTGTATTCATATATNTATAATTAAATTAAATAAAAAAAGGATAGCAACTGAGGCTCGGGTAGTGTAACTGGCAACACATCCGCACAGTAAGCGGGAGTTGCGGGTTCGAGTTCTGCTCTGAACCAATTCTTTTCTTCCAGAAAATTCTAAATTATTAAATTTAATAAGAGATGGTGTCTAACACCTCCCTCTAGTGGCAAATTATTTAGAAATTAATTAAATATAATCACAGAAAAGTAACCCGATACAATCTGGTAATTCTTTGGCTTATTACAAACATATGGTGTTTTGAGATGTTTGTATATGTAAAATGTTTGAAATAGCTATGTATTGTTTATTATATATTATATATTTTTTCAGGGATTAAACTTTTTAATTCCAATTGTGGATAGAGTCAAATATGTTCAGAGTTTAAAAGAAATAGCAATTGATATTCCTAAACAATCAGCTATCACGCTTGGTAAGATTAAATATTAAATTGTAATATATAAATTTTTTGTTAATAATTAATTATTATTGTTTAGTTTAACACTTTACTGTAAAGTTTATAATTTTTTTTAATGTATTTTATAATATTTTACATGTTTTTCGATATTTAATATAACTATGCGAAAACAATTATCGTAAAACTTTCAGATTGTTTATTTACTAAACTAAACCCCAAAATCTTAAATTTTAAGGCGTTTATTATCTTGGTTTTGGATACAACATAAATTTTACTTATTTGTTTTCATCGTAAACATCAAAAAAGTTTTCAAAGTTAGAGGAAAAAGATATAAATACACCATGCGATTAAACAAAAGTAGAACTCATGAGAAGTAACAAGAAGAGTTTGATGATGCTTGGGTCAGACTTAGCAATGCGTTGAGCTGGTGGCATGACGAGTATGGCTAGATGGCTAACTCATGGCATCACCAAGTCCGATTTACAGTGTTATCAAACTCCTCATGCTATTTTTCATGAATTCTGCTTTTGTTTGATCATCCAGTGTATATATACCAGGGTGGACCATTTTAATTGTTCCAGTGGAATAACTCAAAACTATATATCCTACAAAAATATCATTGAACCAAAACTGTTAGACTTAAGGTGCCCACAGGATGGGACTATTGGTTTCGTCATAGATGGTGGTACAATAGGTAAAAATGGGGTCAACTTCATTTTCTTAAATGGGAATTTCCATTTTTAATTACATATTCTGAATCTACATCAAAAGTAAACAAACTTTCATCTAAAACATTTTTTTGAAGAATGCACTTATCAAGAGGTTATGAGAATTTGAAGGTTTACTTAGCCACCACACAGTGCACACACAAACCTGTGGATATTTGTGAAATTCACTGAAAAAAGGAAGAAAAATGCTTGATAAAGTCATTAGGAAATGATTATTATTTGATGGAATCAAGATTGATGTTTTTTCTTTATCACGAACTTGCTGGCATTAACATGCTGCGACACTAGGTTTTGTACCAGTTCATTATTTGAGAAAAAGAATGATTCGATTGAATAATAATCATTTCCTAACAACTTTTTTAGCTTTAAGCTTCTAACACAATAAAGTGCTATAAATTAAGACACTTGGCGGGTTTTCTCATTTTTATTTAGTTGATACGTGTAAAAAAATTACACGTTTGTTGTATGTTATATCCTTTTTTAATGTTTTAGTTGGCTGAAGAGGGGCTTAAAAGCCCAAAATGTGTAATTTTTTCACACGTATCAACTAAATAAAGATGAGAAAACCCGCCAAGTGTCTTAATTTATAGCACTTTATTGTGTTAGAAGCATAAACGAATTTCAAAGCATGGTTGAGTTATGAGCATTTGAAGTTTTACACAGTCGCTACCACACACTGCACACATAAATCTTTAGATCTGTGAAATTTGCTGAAAAAAGGAAGAAAATGCTAAAAAAGTTTTGATGATATGAATCATCAAAACTTTTTTAGCATTTTCTTCCTTTTTTCAGCAAATTTCACAGATCTAAAGATTTATGTGTGCAGTGTGTGGTAGCGACTGTGTAAAACTTCAAATGCTCATAACTCCTTGATAAATGCATCTTTAAAAAAAATGTTTTAGATAAAAAAGTTTATTTATTTTCGATATAGATCAGAATATGCAATAAAAAATTGGGATTCCCCTTGAAGAAAATGAAGTTGACCCCATTTTTATTAATTGTACCACTATCTATGATGAAACCAATAGTCCTGTTAGACTTCAAGGTGCCCACAAGATGGGCACCTTGAAGTCTAACAGTTTTGGTTCAATGATATTTTTGTAGGATTGTATTTTTTGAGTTATTTCACTGGATCTATTAAAATAGTCCACCCTGTATATTTAATGCAAGTTAAATTTATTTAATTAATATAGCATTATAATTAAAAATGATTATTTTAACCTGAAAAGTTATAGATATTGATAATTACATGTTTATATGTGAAAATATTTAGATAATGTAACATTAAATATTGATGGTGTATTATATTTGCGTGTGATGGATCCCTACAAAGTAAGTTATACATTTTTAATTTTATTGAAAGCATTATTGAATATTATTAAATTTTATAATGATTTCTATTACAATATATTTCATTTAATTATAATTTTTCACACAGGCAAGTTATGGTGTTGAAGATCCAGAATTTGCCATAACACAATTAGCTCAAACTACAATGAGATCAGAACTTGGAAAAATTGCTTTAGACAGTGTTTTTAAAGAAAGAGAATCATTAAATGTAGCAATTGTAGGTAAGTACTTGTATTAAATAATAAAGTTTGATTATCTGTGAGAGAAATTGTGTACATATAAATATGATCAAAACATATTTTAAAAACAAATAAGTATAAATATCCTTAAATGACAAATATTAAATCTATCAATAAAACGATATACTTCTCTTCCTTCTGTTGATAGATTTAATAATTAAAATTTAATAAGTACTGTATTGTGTGGCCTATGAGATGCAACTTTTGCTCAAAAAATGGCTTAAAAATTACTTTGTATCTTATATCTGAAGTTACAATCTACTGTAGACTAATGAGTTTCCAAAATGATTGTCAGTAGACTACAGTGTAATCTTCATCTGGCCTTTATCTCTTGAATAAAAATGTTATTGTTTAATTAAATTATATTATTATTATTACTAATTTGCATTATTTAAAACAGAATTATTATAAATATTAGCTAAATAACATGCAGCAATTATTAATTGATCATTTGTCTTATGTATCCAACTCTTCCAAAGTTTAAGCATTAACCTTTTCTGAACTTACACATGTTACTATCTATTTATGTCATACCTTGCCACAGTTATCTTATTTTGCAGAATAACTTAAATGTAGTAAATACTTTTCCTAAATATTCTGTGTTGAAATGGGGTGTGTCGTATATGCCATAAAATATGATAATTTACAAATTAATTCAGAATAAATGTGTAAAAAAGCATTACAACAAGATAAAGACAAAAACACATTATAAAAATCTTGAATAACTTGTTTAATAAGTTGAAAACATTCATTTAAATGTAATCATTCACTATTAAGCTATTTAGTTCTGTTTATCCTTATACCAAGTAACTAACACCTTATTCTTTGCCAAGGGAGTTTATTAAAAACTAACGTTTTCGATCTACTCCATAGATCATCCTCAGGTTGAAACATTCGAATTTGGAATAACAAAAATAGAACGCCAAATTCAAATTCAAAGAGATAACACTGACAACGTAGCAACTAATTAAAATAAAAATTAAAGCGTAAAAATACATAAATGTAAAAATAAATAACATAAAACTACTAAATAATATTATAAGCCACTATTTGTTAACCAGTAAAAATCATTAAGGTTCCCATATCGCGATTGCGGATATGGAGCAATTCAAGAGCTATTTGTAAGTTTTTTAACGGCGAACTTCCACGCTGAAGGTAGGCCCTCCGCATCTCTGGCGTTTATGCATTTTTCATCTAACCTGCTCCTATATATTTCCATTTTTTCAGCAGTTTTCGCTAAAGTTGGGGAGTGCACTTCTCTGATGATTTCCGCATCCTCCCACCTAACTACGGATCCTTCGGCCTGAGCCATCTGGGCCAGAACTGTTGTGTTAGATCTTTTTCTAATATCATATTTATGCCTTTGACCCTTATTCCTAGGTTTCTCGTTGTAACTCCTATGTACTCCTTTTTTATTCCTAACTGCTGGTTCACGTACGGGATCCTCTATACTCCTGCTTTATCCTCCTTCTTAATATCCCCTTTATCATTTCTTAGGATCTTGTACAGATTCGGAGCTCGTTTTACGATCAACGTTGATCCTTTATTGTCCGCAATCTCCTTCATGATGGTTCTTACATTTTTGTTGAACGTACACTTTGTGTATTTACTAGGCCCTTGTTTAGAGGCTCTTGTATCGCCTGTCTCGAATTTTCTAATAATGCCAGCGATTATGCTTCTTCTGTAACCCAAGGTTTCTGCTATCTGCATAATCCTTTTCATTTCTTTATTTCTGTCCATAATGTTATCGCAATATAGAAAAGCCCTTCTAAGGCACAAAAAGCTGCTAATTTATAACGAAATGGATCACTGGACTGCGCAGGAATGTAGAGTGGGCTATGCGTTGGTTTGGTATACACATTAGTAGATAAATGCCCTTTCTTAAAGGTGATATTGATATCCAAGAAATGTATCACTACAGAACTTTTCTGCTCTAGCTTCAGGTTTAGGCCGTCTTTGTTATCGTTGATTCTTTCTATAAAATTACTGATTCCTTGATTACTTTTCCATAGTATAAAGATATCGTCCACATATCTCTTGAAGTAAACAATATCATTTCTGAAGCTATGCACAACCTTTCCCTCTGTTTTTCTTACCACCAATTTGCATAGAAGACCCGATATTAACGTACAAACAAAACAGGGGAGTTTCTATGGGAAGCCCAATATCGAGTCTTCTATGCGAATTGGTACAATAGTACAATATATGTACAATAATATGTACTATGTACGAAAATATATATATATATATATGTACGAAATATGTACAATAGTTAAAATGTCACCTGTGGACATTTTAGACTATTTTACATATTTGTGCAGAGCTGTAGCCTATAAAGAAAGGTCATCTCTGCAGTGAAGAATGGTTGTTCCAGGTGATTGGACATGGCAAGCAAGCAAGATACGACTAGTATTTGTAATGAAATTTTACTTTATTAAAGAACATTTATTAGCTTACACACATCCGACTTGGATTTTACACAAATTGCGAAATTATACCCCAAATTACGCGAATTCAACTTACGTGGTTATCTCTTGGCCCCACCTATTGCATAAGTTTGGGGTATTACTGTATAAATGAATAATACAACATGCATTAATTTCAACAGCTGAAGCATCAGCTATATATCACTGATGCAAATAATGGAGTATAAGCAAATGTTGTGACATTCTGCTATTATATCTTGTTTGTAGCAGTAATATTATGGTATTTTGTTGCATACAAACTATTAAATTTTATTGGATGTGTTGATTTTGACTCAAAAAGGTTTACCAATAGAACTGACATAGTTACCAATAGAATACTTACTAAGATAACTTTCTGAAGGTTTTTAGCAATTGCATGGTATTGTATGTAGATTCTTCTGCCACATCCCCTTTTGTGTTTGGGCTATATAATATATATTATCACATATTGCAAGATATGATTAATGTCTCAATGAAAATTATAAAGCCTTATAAATTTTTATAATAGGCTATTGTATATTGTATCCATGTTTCAGTTCTACCTACTAGTAGTCTACTGTATATTTGGAGAGCAACTTACATAGTAGTCTAAACCAGAATTTTGAGCCAAAAACCTTGAGATAGACTTATATGCTGTAATTTACAGTATATCATGTACAAAATAACAATGTATAATTTTAAGTGCATCAGATACTTTATTTTCAAATTAACTTACAAAAATAATTCATAAAACATAAGATATTTTTAGAATATGAATGTTTTTACGACTCATTTCTCTTTTTTCAGTAAGAAACAGGAATGAAATATAAATTTTTTTCATGATTTTCTGCAATAGAAAGTGAATCAAAAAATTAAGATTAAGGCATTCTTTTCAGGATTATTTGTCTAGATTTTACCATTTAATTACATGTAAAATGAAGCCTGGCATATAGTAATAAACAATACTGCCAAAGTTTAATCAGGCTTAAAAATCATACATTATTTGCATAAAGACAACATAATCCAGGATTATCTTTATTTGAAGCTTAAGAAGACTTATGAAAAATATAAAACCCTTTTCAAGTCTATTCTTTTTATCCTTGTTGGATTGTGAAAAGGATAAAAAGAATAGACTTTTGAGAAAGGTTATATATTTTTTTGTAAATTCTCTTAAACTTTTAATCAGGCTATTATATGGCCAATTAAAATCCAGTGGTACCATTTCTTTATTAATAATGTCAAGCTTGGTTTTATATGCAGTTATATTAGAAGTGGGTGAATATCACTTTTCTCAAATTCGAATATTAACCAATCTCGAACACTCGAATACCCTGAATACCTAGTGACCTAAATTAAAATTAATTCTCAACTAAGTAAGTTATATAACTTACTTAGTTAATTATTTAATATTTATTATGTAGCTTGTTTTATTTATTATAATATTTTAAGTAAATTAATAAAGTAAAAGAAAGCATAAAAAACCAGTTTACTAAATTTTAAGAAATGAAACTTCAAACTTTTAATTTTGACTTTCAATTTTAAAGTAGCTTTTTTAAGTATTCTACTCATATCTCAGCTAAACTGATTAACAAATAATTGTTCTCATTCTCATCTACTGCAGGTTTTTATTTAAGAAAACAAGAATTCAAAAATGTTCAAATCTAGTCTGCTTCTTTTCTTGTCATAAATTAAACCAGAAGTGCTGAAAAGATTCTGTCTGTACTCGGGCAGATACAAGGGATATCATTGATACAAAAACATTTAAAATTTATTTTTTTGAACTTCAAAACAATTTTTTTAAAAAACATGATGGAAAATATGGTGTATTGGACCATCCACAAGTAAAGTTGTCATGCATTTGTTAATAAAAGGTACTATTAATCATTCAAATATTTAAATTTTTGAGTTAGCCCCTTTTTTGGGTACTTTTGGATCCACCTATTGACTGTAGGTATGGTGCAATATTGGAGGTATTTGTAGTATTCAAATTTATCTTTTGTCAACATAAAATTTGATATTTTGAATATCTAATACTTTCTACTATTTGAGTATTTGACCATCTCTAAATATATATAATACATCATATATACGTTACATAACATGTACTATATATGGAGATGATTGCCATGATGGGGATGATTATATTCTTGTGGCTTTTCGTGTGCCTGTAGTTGGTGTATTGAATGACTTGTATAGTTATGTCTTTTAAATTAATTGGTCAAAATGTGAAGTAGAACAGATTCAGGTAATGTAATTTGCAATGCATCTGCACAGTAAGCAAGAATTTGCAGGTTTGAGTCTTATTCTGAATTGATTTTTCCTTCCAGAATATTCTAAATTAATTAATTTATTTTTAGTTAATTTATTTTATACAAAATGGCAGCTTAACTACATACCTCTAATCATACATACAATACACTCTTATTTGAGAAATAATGTATATGATGAAAATAACATGTTATTGAGAACATAAGTATAAATTTTTGTGAAATAAAACCACTACTAAGAATTTTACATTTAGCAATGGAGTGATTATAT